GCTTTACATGGTATTCAAAATAGCTCTCCAACATTACTTTTATTGACTGTATGAAATTCTTCATCTTGTGTAATGTTTGCCTCATTGAATATCTTAGACACGGAGAGACTAAAAGACAGATAGATGATGAGACAGCAACTGGGGATTAGTTTTATGCAGGCTAAGCATATTTCTTTTGTAATGATTTTAAAAAATACTCAAAGAACCACACCTTCTTTATAGACCATTCTCAGCAAGGGTAACACTAGAAAAGTGGGGAGAGGAAGACTATAAATGAACTGTCTGTGTTCCTATCAAAAGTCTGTCTCTCTGATGTTCTGCCTACTTCTTCCTAGCTATTCAGACATGTCTGTAGGATTTCCCTCCACCAACAACACACATGCTGTCAGTTCTAACATCTTACAAAACTTGCTAGCATCTTTATGGCCTCTTAGTTACATTCTCATTTCTCTCCTTTCTTGTTACTGCAACTTCTCGAATACTCATTATAGTGATTGTGTACAGTTTTCCCCTTTCTGCTTTACCCAGCCATTCTAATCAAGATTTACCTCCATTCCTCTCCTGCCATTTTTTTTTTGGTGGGACTAGGGTTTGAACTCAGGGCTTTGCACCTGCAAAGAAGGTGCTCTACCAATTGAGCCACAGGTCTGGTTCATTTTGCTCTGCTCATTCTGGAGATGGGAGTCTCATGAACTGTTTGCTGGGGCTGGCCTTGAACCATGATCCTCCCAATCTTAGACTCCCAAGTAGCTAGGATTACAGGTGTGAGCTACCGGCACCTGGGTTCAAGTGTTTCTTTTCTTTATCTTTTAGTTATAATTTTTCCCCCCTGGGATTTTGTCTAGTCTTATGTCTTTAAATGCCATCTATCTGTGTTATTGATGATTATACGTCTACCTTAATGTCAGACCTCTCAAAACAAATGTCCAAATACTTGTTTTACTTTTCTAGGCTAGATAATAGAATTACCATCTAAAATTTGACAGCCAATCCTTCTCTTCCTCTCACATCATAAATTTACCCCTCAAACAAATCCTGTCCCTTTACCTTTGAAAAAATTCAGAATCCATCCTTATCCCACTGTCTCTCCTCACACATGGATCTAAGCTGCCCTCACCTCTCTTGTATCACTGTGACAAGAGCTGGTTTCTCTGCTTTCATCCTTGCCTGTCTTTAATCTTTCTTGATCACAGTAGATCCTTTAAGAATACATGTCCTATTAGGTCATCCTAAGATCTAACACTTGGGTTGCTTTTCAATTCTCTTGAGTAAAACCTCACATTCCACAGCAATCTTTGGGGCTCCATTCACCCTTCATTCCGCTTTTGGCACTTGTGCTCAACTGTCTCTTCTCTCACACACTTCCATCCCAACGGTTTTCCCTAGGTATCTGCATATTTTCTCAACTGCTCTAACTTCTTACTTAGCATTCAAATGCTAGTTTGTTAGGCCCTCCCTATTTTAAATTGTATTACTTCATTGCTGTGTTTTTTTTTATCACTTAACCATGAAAGGTCCACAAAACAGATGATTTTGTGGCCTCTTTGGTTCAGTGTTATATTTTCCTTTGCCTAGAATGCAGAAAATTCTAAAGAAATACTTATTGAATAAATATGTAATTAAAAACCAAGTCATTTATTCAGTATCTATGGTATTTCAAGCAGCTCATCATGTTTACTAAACACTTAATTTAAACCCCATAACCATCATATACTTAGATATGAGAAAAATGAATTGAAAGTCTCAAATTATGTAAATCTGGAGTTGACACTGTGTAGCTCAGTAAGTTCACTGTGCTCTCTTTTGTTACCAGGAAGTAAAAATAAGTACTCTTCAACCCAGGAGTTTTGAGGGATATTTCCATTTTGTATTTCTACTTGTTGAGACTGGAGGTGTCTTTTCTTCATTACTCTGTCATCAACATCTAGTAGAGAACCTGGCTCAATTATATTTGTCTCCTTTAGTAAATGATCACATTGGTCCAGCTGATGACTACCACAGTATTAACCTCTATACTGTGAATTTTTCCTCCTTGACTAAAAGCCAGGACAGGATAGGTTTAGGGGAAGCAAGTTAAGGATGATAAAGGGACCAGATTAGGAGTATTGGACATGTTTGCCTCAGGCAGTGATCAGCCATGGCCTTGTTCTTGAAATCTTTTCTCTCCTCTGTTCTGCTCTTTTGGAGAGAAAGACTGAGAATGCCACAGAGAAAACCACACTCAAATCAAATAAATGCCTTCTAAGAAGATCACTGGAGTTTGAGACATCTCTTTGAGGGTGTATTTCCTAGTGCTAGGCAGGAGGAGGAAGAGGAAAAAGGATTTGAACAAAAGGAAAATGAGGCAAGATATATAATAGTTTGAAGAAATTTGCCTTAATCTGATGTCTTCTGTCTCTCTACTGGCTTTCAAGTAGTTTCAATGGAAGAAATTTTATTGCAGATGTGGCCTTGTATTTTATCCTTTTTAGAGTGGAAAGATCCTGCTTACACTGGGTCCAAGTGGGTATTTTTTCTGTTTGAAACTTTTTTAAAAGATGTATAAAATAAGAAAAAGAAAAACTCCTGGTATGTATTTAAGAAATTCACTCCTCAGATAAGGCTAATCCATTCTCTATAAGAATCCTGAAGCCATTGATTTTTATTGAAAGGATTTTCATAACACTTTTAATATGTCTACATTAACTATTCTGGTGAGGAAAGAGGCATCTTACACTATACAGTAAATAGTCTAAGGATTCCTTTTCATAAAGAAAATATGCAACCACTGAATGCGATTTCAGAAGGATGGTAAAGAATCAAGTTTCTTCACTTCAAATCTGTGTGTCAAAGAGCACTAAATAGTCTCTTGTACAGTCCTATAATTTTATGATGTATCTAAATGTTGGCAAAATGAATAGAAATAAATACCTACCTGCCTACCCAGCCATCTGCATGCACAGACAATTGCCAGAGGGAAATGGCCTAGCATAACAGGCATGATTAGGGGATACAATTTTGTTTTTTTCTTTGTCACATTCCCTGTGAAGAATAGCCTCAGTTCAAGATTCTTTGGTCTTATCTACTGTAGTCCATGCCACAAAACAATAAAGCAAATTCCATATGAGAAGTTTTATCAGCAATCTCTCACTTCCTGCATAGGCCTCATGTTACATTTTTAATATTTGTTTCAATGGTTAAGATGGATCCCATCAAATCATACCCCTGCTGTTTAAGAGGGAAATTCCTCTTTGCTATAAGTGACTTTACTTGATGTGACCACTTAATACCAGGTTTATTGAACCAGGCATTTGTCCTGTATATTTTTAGAGATAAGTAAGTTTGCCATTAGTTTCTTGTTTGTTTCAGCTTTCATTTCCTCCCCCCCCACCCAACAATACCATGTCACATATAGTTGTGTGTTTTTGATGCTGAATTTTATGTGTTAACTTGACTGAGCCATGGGGTGCTCAGGTGTGTAGTTCAATGTTATTCTGGGGGTGTCTGTGAGTGTGTTTTTTGATGAGACTAACATTTGAATTAGTCCGACTAGTCACTGATTACCTTATCCAATCTATTGAAGGCCTGGGAAGAACAAAAAGGACTGAAATTCCCCTATGGAAGAATTATTCCTGCCTAGTTTGCCTTTGCACCAGGACATTGGTCTTTTCTTGCCTTCAGACTCAGCTCCTGGTGGGTCTTCAGTGTGCCAGCTGCAGATTTTGGGACTTACCTGGCTTCAACATCATGTGAACCAATTAGTTATAGATACCATTTGGGTCCCATTTCTCTGGAGACCTGATGTACACAATCTTATAACATGAACTACTCAAACAACTGTAACTGGCAATTTTTCTGTGCAGTGTACACTGGATCCTTATCATATACCATCAAGCTTTGAGAATTTTTAAATGCCTGTTTGCAGATGCCTGTCTGTTGTTTTCTATGGGAAATTGAACCATGTTCTGTGACTGGCTGAGATTTGTCTCTGTATCATATAATATGAGCTACTTAAGCCAGAGGCCCTTTCTCCCATTCTGCGAGAATATGTACATGCTTGGGCTTGAATTTCACCTCTTTCCAATTTCTATTTATGTGGTTTTTGGGCAAAATTACTTAAGATGTAAAATAGGATTAAAAATTATACCTATATAATAGCATTTTAATTAGATTACACAGAATATTTGTAAAAAAATTTAGAATAGTGCCTGTCACCTGCCATATGTCATCAAATCAAGATGTCATCTGTTGCAAGATATACCGCTATTGTATGCACACACCAAAATTAAAACACTACCAATCATTAATGTATCAATGAAGTATAATAGTTGGTGGTATATATATATATATATAAATATAACACAGGATCAGGCAAACTGATTATTCAGAATGGTCTGGACCATTTCTAGATTTGAATAGAAAAAAATCCTTTTGCATTTGTGGATAGTTATCTCAATAGCAACAGAATTCTAAGCAGGTAATATTATTACTGAATGTTCAAACTATTTAATTATGCTAAGAAGTTTCTAAAGCATGTTTTTTTCTCATTGTCTTAATGAGGCTTAGAGCTTCCTTCATTATAGACACTCTAGGGTCATTTAATAATCTAAGTAAGGCACAGTGTTTCTTATGGACTGAATGTTTATGTCCTCACCCAATGCATATGCCAAACTTCTAACTTTGAATGTGACTGTGTTTGGAGATAGAGCCTGTGAGGTGGTGATAAAGGTTAAATTGCAGTCAGAAGGATGGGTTCTAATCTGATAGGGATGGTACCTTATAAAAGGGGGAAGAGTCACCACAACTCTGTCTTCCATGTGAGGACACAGTGAGATGGTGGCTGTCTGCAAACCAGGAAGAGAGCCCTCAGTAGGAATTAAATCAGTCAGCACCTTGGTTTTGGTGGTACTGGGATTTGAACTCAGGATCCTGTGCCTGCTAAGCAGTACACCTTGGTTTTGGGCCTTGAGCTTCCAGAGCTGTGACCAGTCTAGGGTATTCTGTCATGGCAGCCTGATACAATGACCTCTGGTGGAATCAGTCACTGGGAGATCCCTGTGGATGAATTCATCCTGGCCTTTCCACAGCACCAGTTAGTAGTGATCAGGGAAGGTCTGACCGCAAGATGCTTCTTTACAGTCGGAAACTTAAGACTTGGTCTTCTCACCAATCCTTCCCATCTTATAGTTTCTGCTTACTCATTCCTAAAATCTTAAGCTACTTTACCGACATTAAAACAACTTTTTATTTATTTTTATAATTGTATACAACTACCTAAGTGAGATCAATATTCTCCTTATGAACATTTCATTAGGTTTCACATTAATCATTTCCTCATATTCATACTCATTTTAATTAGTAAATTAAAAACTTTCTCCCTCATAGTTTGATTCTCTGGGGAGGGGTTGTGTGTCTGTGTGTTTTATAAGTAACACTTTGACTTTGTATTGGTTCTTACGGGCAATAAAAATTTGCTTTTCTATCAACATTTAAGATAAGAGGACAGAGAAGGTCCAGAAAAAATTCAGAATAATAGAAATGTGTTCATTGATTAAAACCTCTGAATTACAGTATACTTTTAAACTAGTTTTATTTTGAAGCAGAAACCAAGGAAAGCATTAACCAGTGGAATCCTTGGGAAACCTGTTTAAATTGCTTTCAGTTTACATAATTTCCATTTAAGTAGAACCATGAGCTTGCTTGGGAGTACTAGAAAAGGTTACCTTTCATTAATAACTTCTGAAGCTTACTTGTACAATCTTGTTTTTACCAGAGCAAATGAATGAATGACAAATAATGAGTTCTGTATGGTATGCCATTGTCACACAGTCCAACCCTAAGAGAGGCCTGTACAAGAATTTGTGGGCAGGAAACTTGATTGTGTCAGAGTAAATGACCTGAGGAGCAGGGGATACATGCCTCTTTACTTTGGACATGACATACCGTTTCTTCTGCTGCTTGCTATTGGTCATAAAGACCAACTCTAGTACATGTGAGAATGGACCGTAAAAACTTGTGGATAGGCGGAGGTGCGATGTTAGGGAGCATCTTGCAGGCTGATATGTTATATAATAGTCACTTTCTAGAAATGATATTTTGAGCAGATGACAGACTCATAGGGTGAAACTGTTCACTCACTGCTAAGCTTAGTTTTCTCTTGGTCCTCAAAACTCCTGATCATCTTGCAATAAACTTTCTTTGCATGATTAACTCAGATCAGTTTCCATTACTTTAACAGAAGATTCCTAATAGACAACACAGATTCCAATGCAAATTAAAACTTTAAAGCACTTATATTCTGTTTGTTGGTAATGAGAGTAGCTAGAACTTTTGATGCTACAGTAGAATTGGATATATCAGTATGGACACACAAACTTCTTAGATTTATTCACAGAAAGGACCCCCAGTCTCTCTGGAATGGCAATGAGTGAGCCTACATGCTGAAATCTTGGTTTCAAGTCTCCCTGGAGAAATGCGGGGAGTTGGGAAAACAGGAAGTATGACTAGAAAACCTTTTGGGCAGAAAGTTAGTAAATTATCAAAGGATAATAGTGTTATGTCAAAATGACACAGTACCCAGTGTGAAGGATGGCTTCCTATCCCAATATGGAGCAATTTGGACATTGATAAAATTAATCTTAATTTAGGTAGAAATCATCAATGGATACTAAAACTAGTGGTACAAGGTTGATGAATGTGACATGTACATAATCTCAAAGTAGCTTTTTCTCAAAATGCATATTAATTATAAAGGGAAAACAGCGTTTCTATAATGAAGAAGCCTGGCAGATGCCTTCTGAACTATGTGATTAAAGTTAATACCTTGAAAATGGGGCGAAAGGACATCATGTGCCTTAAGAACACATGTCACATCTAGGGTACTGTGCTAAAAATGCATGACTTGAATTTAATAAAGAGGAAGCATTATACAAAACCAAATAGAGGAACATTCTATAAAATAACTGTCATGAATTCTTTTAAAATGTCAAGGTCGAGAAAGAAAGGTTGAGAGATGCTTTTTGATTAAAGGAGGCTAATGACGTGACAGCTGAATGCATTGTATGCTCTTTGGTTAGAACTTGAGCAGAGGAGAAAATAGCTATATAACACATTATTGGAACACTTGGAAAAATATGACTATAAGTTGTGGATTGTTTAATACCACTAAATCATATAAAAATTTCTGACCATATAAAAGAATGGCCACTGAAACATTTAGGGGTAAATAGGGTATCATGTCTGCAACTTTCATATTGCTAGCAAAATAAGTAAGAGAGAAAGTGAGTGATACAGCAAATGGAGCCAAAAATTAAATGACTGGCAAATGTGGGTGAAAGGTTTCGTACTGCTACTATAGAAGATTGTCATAAATCCAACAGTTTATCTCTGAAGGTCAGAGTTTGGCGCACTGTAGTTGGATTCTCTCCCTAGAGTCTTATACTGGGTTGAAATCAAGATACCAGTAGGGCTGCATTCTTTTATGGAGGCAGTTGGGCAGAATCATCTTCCTAGTTCATTCAGATTATTGGATGAGTTTATTTCATTGTGGTGGCAGGATTGAGGTTTTCAGTTTTTTGACATGTGGCCACCTCCATCTTCCAGCCAACAGTGATGCTTGGCGCCCACATCGTGGTTTCAATCTGTTTGCATTTAAGGGCCCTGTGGTTACATTGGTTCCATCTGGATAATCTAAGATGTGCTTCTCTTAAAAAAATCAATTTATTAGTAATCTTAATTGTATCTGCAAAACCTCTTGTGCCATGTCATTAGTGTAACATAACCCTGACTTTGACTATACTAGTTGAGAGTCCTAGAGGCCAAATTTCACATACCACAGGGTCACAGGAATTTTCTGCCCTCTTCTCATTATTTTCACATAAATTCAAAATTACATAAAACATTACAAATATTCATAAGCATAGCACAGCAAGGGATAAAATGTGGCCATAGCATCATTGATGTTCTTGGTGATTTCATGTCATCCTAACAGTACTGGCTCTGTTTTTCCCTCTTGTTCAGGTCACCACCAAATCAAGCAAGGTACCTGTGAGGTGGTTGCTGTGCACCGATGCTGCAATAAGAACCGGATAGAAGAGCGGTCACAGACAGTTAAGTGTTCGTGCTTCCCAGGACAGGTGGCTGGCACAACTCGGGCTCAACCTTCTTGTGTTGAGGGTAAGACCTTTTCTGGTCTGTTTCTCTAGTATTTCAAAAGGGCCCCAAACGACCAATGCTTTACCTATGATAATCTTGCCTCAAGATTATCAGTCCAAAAATGAACACAAATAAAAGTCCATAAGTCCCTTAATGTATAAGGTAAGTCTTTAATATCTGTCAAGAGGAACCAGTGGAGAGTTTCCATTATAAGACAGTTGGTAAGATATGCTTCAATGCCTTTTTCCTTTCTAAATCTCATCCACACTAAGCAGGTGTTTTCTCCTGATGCTCTCTTCTCCCCTTCCTTCTGCATCCCCTCAGTATCCAAGGTGGATAGGTTCTAGGATTCCTGGATATCAAAATCTGTGGATGCCCAAGTCCCATATATAAATTTTGCATATGGTTTACACACATCCTCTTGTACAGTTCAGACCATCTGTAGATTACCTATGTGAAAAATGTAAACACTACATAAATAGTAGTTTTAATATATTTGTTTAGGGTATAATGGTAAGAGGAAAGTCTGTACAAGTTCAGTACAGGTGACATTTAAAAAAATCTATTTTATTTGGCAAATTGAATCCAGGGATGTTCAACCCACACATATGGAGGACGAACTGTGCTATCAAAAGTAGCACTGTGGCCTTTTCACTTCATGGCTAGTGGGGTTTTTGAGACAGGACTTCACAGTTTATCCCTGGCTTGTCTCAAAGTTGTGATTCTCCTGCTTCAGCATCCCTAGTACCAGAGTACAGGTGTTTACCACCATACCTGGCTTTATGTTTAGTGTTACATAGTAGTATCCCTTTTATTATTTCTACTTTATCATTTTACAAATATTTCTGAAATGTCTTTGGAGCAGCTTCCCTGAGAATAGTTTGGGGTCATATGTCATTCATTGTAATCTCTGGGTCCCCTAGCAGAGTACTTTGCCAATATCAAAGCAACATATATGAATGTTGATGGTTATAGGTGGAGGCCTGGGATTGATTCCTCTTGACGCTCCTGGCTTCTTCTGGCAGACACCTTGTTAGAAACAACTATCTGTTGTTCATCTGGGGAATAGATGAACAGGGATAGCCTATAGCAGTCACTCTGCAATGGCCTGAAAGCTTTCGTGAACACTTGTAGCCTCTGATATCTTTTAGATGAACGTCTAAAGTTCAGCAGTTAAAACACAAACATGCAAATTCATGGGCTGTGCTGGCACAGTGGTATGTATCACCACCATCTCAGTCCCCTTGAAAGCAGGTAAATACAAGGGGAAATGTTCTCATCCATGGTTTCTTATAAGAATCTCTGGGGGCCAGATGTGTTGCTTAACTCAGATTTTATGAAGATAGTGGAATATATATCCCATCTATTACTTAACAAACCAACCGTGTTCTCCACTTGTACCCCATAATCATAGATGATAAAATTTTTGCAGTGCCATCTATGAATATTCATGTAGAATGGCATAAGGCAGGATGAAGAACCTTATGTTAATTCAAGTAGATTTGCTGTCATATTACAGAAAACCTTTCCCTTTTTTAGAGCTTTTTGGATTTGGGGATTATTGATAAAGGATTTTGGACCTATAAAAGGCGATGAAGATCTTTAGCATTTAAGAAATGACATTTAAATGAAGTTTGCCAAGTTTCTACATTGCCCAGCTGGGATGTGGAGTATATTTATCTTCCCCATTAACTGATTCCAAATCATGTGTGTTCTATCTCTGTGCCACCTTTCAGATTAGCTTTCAGATTAGTCCACTTTTTCCTAGTCCTGCTGCTACCCCCACAGTCCAACAGTGAACTTACTTTTCCTAGCCTTCCATTTTCCATTCTGTAGCCAGAATGTTCCTCCTATACAAACAGAACTGATCTGTCCCTTTCATGTTGAAAAGCACACTTGAGTGACTTCCCACTGTCTTTAAGATGAACTTCAGGTTCATTATCATGTCTTACAAAGTTTTGTATTATCTGATTTTAACTTAGCCAAACCAAACTCTTTCTATTCCCGCTCATCTCTGCACTTTATGTACTATATCCTTTCTCCAGACTCATTGTCTTTGTCTTCATGTCACACATCTGGCCTACTTAATTTTTGCTCTTAAAAATATATGTTCCATCTAAGAACATATATTCTGCTCATATTTCCAGTTCATGATACTCATCTCATTTTGTGGTTAAGACTTGCTGAATTAGTCTGTAAGCAGCTTGCAGACAGGGATGGGGTCTCATATTTTTCTCTCTCTGAATTGGTTTGTGTGACCTAGTTTTAGCACAGTGGAGAACTGACTCATCTTTACTAATCACAGATTGCTCTCTCAAGGTAGCAGCTGCATTTGTCTGCCTTTGTAGGTTTTAAGTTTCTTCTGAAGGAACTTATGAATCATAATATGAACTATTTTTGTATCCTGCCTAGCCTAGAATTTTTGGATATAAAAAGTTTTATATGTAATATGTTATAATATTCAGCACTTTCAGTGGTACCTGAAAATTTTGAGAGGGTAATGATGACTATTAGTATGTCTGTCTTAGTAAAGAAAATATGAATACCTTCTCCAAAATAATATTGTTCTAAATAATATATTTGTGCAAAATCTCCTTTATCTTCTTCCCTTGGGGTAACTATATCTATTTTTTTTCTTTTATTCATATGTGCATACAATATTTTGGGTCATTTATCCCCCCTTCCCTCCTACCCCCTCCCTTATCTAACCCACCCCCTCCCTCTTCCCCCTACCCCCACACTACCAGGCAGAAACTATTTTGCCCTTATCTCTAATTTTGTTGAAGAGAGAGTATAAGCAGTAATAGGAAGGACCAAGAGCGTTTGCTAGTTGAGATAAGGATGGCTATACAGGGAGTTGACTCGCATTGCTTTCCTGTACTATGTGTTACATTCTAAATTAATTCTTCTCGAACTAACCTTTTCTGTAGTTCCTGGTCCCCTTCTTCAATACAATTTTCTGTATATTTAGACATGGATCTGTAGTCCACAGTAGCAGATTTCAATATGAATCAATATAAATGTGTATTTGCACAATTTCTTAGGTCAGTCTGTTTTATTTCTAATAGTATTAGAGATCTTTGTGTATTGACCTAACTTGGCTAGGTTAACTGCCCATTAACAGGCCATTGAATGGATAGATCATAACTTATTTAGCCACTCCTTAATCAATGGAAATTTTGGTGGTATCTATGGCAAAACAAATGGACTCACAGGCTAACTGAATGCTTTCTCTAGTGTCAGTGATACAGACAATTATTTGGTCTCTTGAACATATCTATACAGCTTTAATAGAATTTTCTGTGGTGATGAAAATGTTTTCTCTCTGGGCCCCCTCTAGATATGTCTTTAGAAAGATACCTATCTGGTGACACATATGTTAGCTGTCAGTAGCCACTTGTGATTAGAAGCTTCATATTGTATGCTGCAGGATAAACTTCATGTAACATGAAACTGGAGTGTAACATTTATGGTTAGGGAATACCAATACCCTGGAAAGATAGGATTGTGATTGTGTCTTCCTCTTGGTGTTTCCCCGTACCTACCACTGCCTGGCAAATAGTGTTCAATAATTGTTTATTGGATCAAAGTCACTGAGGAGGTAAAGGAAGTTCAAGCTTTAGTTGGGATGTATATCTGTTTTCCTGTCCCCTGATCTTCTATTCCTTATCTCAGTGTTTCCACTGGGGCTTTTTAGCTTTACCTGCTTAATCTTTATCTCATAGTAATTATGCAGTATCATGTTGTTAATTGGCATGTGGGAAGACCCATTCTGTGCTGAGAGGTTCTTCTTATCTTATTTGTCAATAAGAATAGAGAGGATCTGAAATACAAAATTTGCTGGAATTTACATTTAAATTAAAATAAAGGCAAGAAGATGTTGGAGCAGGGCACTAATTATTGTTGACATAGAAATTGGAATATCCTTTTCTATTTTTGTTAATCCACACCACAGATACTTATCTTGTATTTTCAATAAAGCCATAGCTTTTATTAGTTAAACAGAGAATTAGCTCTTTTTACTCACCCACCTCCAATTTTTACTTATAATTAACTTAGGAAATCTCCCATGATTTATCTTTATCACACATTTGGGATTTGGGAGAAGGGATGTGGAGTTTTTTGGGGCTCTGGTTACTGGGGCCTGAAACAGACAACTGTTCTGCTGGTAAGCATTCTTCCTTTTGAATCTTCAACTGGTATATATCCAAGGCTGTTTTGTGGTAGGAGCAATGTTCTATACATTTATCAAAATATACGGATAATGTGGAATGGTTTTATGAAAAAGCTAGATAAATGTAGTATAAGGGAGCTTAATTTATTTTGTCAAAATGAATGCTTTCAAAACATTGGATTTAAAAGAGATTAATAAGACAAAAGCTTTGGAGTGGAAGGCAGTTACTTTTAACGCTATATTTTTTATCTTCTGATAATGCCCCACTTCTTCTACTTTTCTGAAATGTCAGAACTGGTTTAATTAGGAAAGAGAGTTACTGTTTGGGCCACAGATGGCTCTCACGTTTATGGACTGTGCGATGAGACATAGGGTCTCTCTTTACAATGTGCCTTCATTAGTTTGTCTTTTTTTTTTTTTAATTGGGCGTGTTTTCCTTGCCACTTAAAGCTGTTTTCTGAGTGTTTGGCAGTGGCTGTCAGGTGAGTGACTGAGCATCGGGAGAATGTGTACATTGCTTATGTTGGTTTATTCATGAAGCTTTAATACAGTACCTTTGTGCTTGCCCTGGCCTAGATGCTTGGGGAATAGGATGGCAACGAAGGTCAGGATTTACTTTTAAGGAACCCACAGTTCACTAGAAGGAACGCAGACTTCCACAGCAGGGCAGGGATGGGCTCCATAAGGGCACTGTGTCTTAATAGGAAGAAGATACAAGGTTAGAGGTAATGAGGCAGTACAGAGCACATGGGAATGAACAGGGCATACTTGAGAAGGTGCCTGATCTTACTCAGAAATGGCAGTATTACTTAGAACCCTTGGTGTTAGGGATTTAATTGCGTCTGGA